GGTTCCTAAACTTATTCTGGCTGCTGCCTCCATGGCGCTCCCAGGCTATATCCCTGCCGACATGCCACACACCTATTTCTTGGTATTGGGTCTATGGCAAATTTTAAATGAATCCAACACTAAGTCTGTGATCATAACTAGCAAAAGACTTGGTCCTTGCAAACTTGAAAATGCTATGATCACTAGCTCTTATGGCTCCTGCTGTCTGATCTGATTGATGCATAGAGACTATGTTGCCAAGATGCAAACATTATGTCTTAATATTGACTTCAAACTACAAAATCAAGTTTTCAAGTATGTTCATTTCAGTGTTTGTAAATCATGTGCAACTTAGTGCTAATGACTTAGATTTTGTACTATATTAAAGCTTGTTAAAGCAAACAAATGAAAACACAAAAAACAAAAAGGAAAACAAAGCAAAACAAACAAAAAGAAAACAAAAGCTTGCTAAGTTCTGATACCTCTGCCAACCGTTACCACCTCCTTTTTCCTTAGACCTCCTTTGGATCTTTTCACTACTTCTAAGGGGTACAGTACTACCCACACTGGGAAGAGCAGGTTGAGATTATATATATATATATATATATATATATATATATATATATATATATATATATATATACCGAATGTAATAAGAGTGAAAATAATATATAAATTCTAACGTTCACAGCATTAATTCAAAAAAGGGCTTAATACTGAGAGTAGAGCAATAATTTTGGTTCTCACCAGTTGAGGTGCAACTAAATGCACCAAAACAAGGTTGCATCTTTGTAGTGTGTAAATTGTTTTTGTTTGTCTGAAAAAAATTATATATATATTATTTTTTTCCTTTTAATCATATTAATAAGAAGTTCATCTTCAGATTTGTATTGACATATCCTCTTAAAGCCTTCTCTTTAACAATTTGTTTCTTTCCCATAAATAAAAAAGCAAAAGGTTTTCAAACAGACACACTACCAACCCAATGAAACTAAGCTTACAAATGGATTAAAAAAGACAACATATGAACAGCAAAAACCCCTAGTAAATACCTGAAAACAGAAGCTAAAAGGCAACGCAACAGAAGTATATATTTTCAAGACATTATACACATCTGTGTGTGTATGATGAGCAGAAAATAGAATCAACAGGCTGAATTTAAATCCTAGTTGTTGCAGTCACTTTTTTTGCACCGATACCTTTGGGAAAGGCAAGAATGCATTTATTCTGCTCCCAGTGATATGTAAAATAGTAAGGGTGATTAAACTCTTTACCCATGATAGGGTAATCTGTATTGGAGAATGATAATTGAATACAAATCACCTGCCTACATGTCAGTGTGGCAGGGTACAGATTGATACTTCCCATATTTGGGGGAAGGTGTCCAGTGGACTTAGTAGAAAGGCTGGTGTGTGTGTGTGTATTTATGTGGATATATTTTACAGTTTAAGTTCTTTGAGGGACATGGCGAACTAGTATTATACAGCCCCAAATGTCACATAAGCTGAATTCTAACAGGCTGATGTAAAAAAAAAAAAAAAAAAAAAAAAAAGGAATGGCTGGCTGCTTGGAAAAATACTAATCTAAAAGGGAGGTAACTTTAAAAATTCTTAGAATATAAATTAACAATGTACAATTACGTAGAATTTACCAGACATTATTTCAATTCCCTAGACATGTTTTCAACACTAAAATGAATATTTACTTTTTTTTTTTTAACTAATCCACAAATTATAAACAGCTGTGAGTTACCTTGCTTTTATGATTTTCAATTGCGTATACATTTTACTATTAGTAAATTTTCTACCTCATAGTCCATTGCATTTAAAAATTAAATTATAAAGTTTGTTGTAATGTTTTCTTTAACAAAAATAGTTAAATGTGTTATACTTGGTTTTTCTAGTGGATATGCTACTAACAGTGAAGACGTATCAACATTTTCTTTTCCTCTTGGAAAATCTGACCCCGTAAAAAATTGGATAAAATTCATTAATTGTATTGATTGGTTTCCTATGAAAAATTCAGTTGTCTGTATGAAATATTTTGAAGATAAATTCAAAAGGAAAATTAAACTGAATTGGGATTTACATCTAATACCAACAATACATTTCAAAAAAAAAAAAATAAGAAAACCGTGTTTTTTGCTAAATACAAAGTAATTCAGAAAGCCTTCAAAACAACCATTGGTCCAAACTGATGAATTACATGATTTATTTCAGCTGATACGATAAAGAATTTTACTCAATTGGAAGAAGCAAAGTGTTGTCCTCACGGTTTTGAATTTTAAAAAAAAATGGAAGATTATAATTTACTACTTTGACTCTGAAACATATTTTCCATCTATAAAAGAATGTATTTGCATTGACAAAAACCTTCATGTCCAGCTCCAGTGCAATGGAACCCTTATACCGTTAGCAAATTGGTTTATACATGAACATAATGCTAAGCTCACAAAATTTAGCATGTTAGAAAATTTTCGAAACTACATACAAAACATGGTGGAAGAACAATTATACTCAATTCTGAAAGAATTACAAAAAGGACAACATTACCAAGCGAGAAGTCATCCTTCATTTTCTGCAGAACTATGTTATGACTTACTACTGCACTATATGTCTCAACAAACCTATAAATTACTTCTGGAGAAATTTCCATTAGCATCTTTTTCTTTATTAGAGAAAATTCAAAGAGGTGGCATGGAATTAATCAATTACAGGTACAAAATCATTCCTGGAAAAAGGTGATTTTTCTCAGCACTGTGTCTTAATGGTAGATGAAATGTACTTTCAAAAAGGAAGACAATTTCATCATGTGGAGTACATTGGTGCAAATGAAGATGATGAACTTTACAAAGGAATAATGGTATTTATGATCAATGGTCTTAAAAAGACAATACCATCAGTCATTAAACCTATCCTAAAGTAACAGTTAATGGTAAGTGGCTTTCTCAGGAGATTCTGAAATGTATTTTTACAACTTATAAATGCTGGATTTTTTTATTAGAGCTGTTGTTGGAGTCATTCAGTTAATGTTGCATTTTGAATGCATTTAATATTTTATTTGATAAGTTTGAGGGGGACAAAATGTACTACATAAATTTTCCCAATTATCCCCCCCCACCAAGCCCAAATATTTATTTTTTGACTCTGTAGATTTATATAAAAATATTCAGAATAGTTTACTGAACAGAAAGAAGTTTTTATTTCTTGCTGTTTTTACATTTGAAATATCAAATACTTATGTTTTTTCTGGGAATGGATATATAGCCTTGTTTGACATACACAAAATATATGACAAGGATAACATTCTAGATGCTAAATTACATAAAGCCTTAAAAAGCCAACATTCACTGTATCCTAGTGACAATAAACAAAATGTTAATTTAGCAGTTGCAATTTTTCATGAGATAACTATTGCAGCTTGTGAGTGCTATTTTCCTAATTAAACAGACATGTCAAACTTTCTTTAATTAATATTATGCTGGTGGACAATAGCAAATTCAAGAAAAAAACAACCAAAAAAAAAACAACAAAAAAACAAAACAAAACACCTAATATTTTTAACAATGCAATAAATTCTAATGATAGGAAAATTGATTTCTACAAAAAAATTATTTGATTGGGTTTAGTCTTGGTCACAGATTTCTGCCTTACAAAGCAAACTTCCAAAGCTTTTGTTGTAACTTTGAGAGCACAGGCTATGCTTATGCATGAACTTTTAGATGAGTATGTTTTCACCCATAGATTGCAAAATGATCCACTTGAAAATAGATTTTCTCAATATTGATAGATGAGAGGTGGGAAGTATGGAGTATTAAAAGAATACTGAGCTGTCGGTCTCTTTTAAAAGAAAACAAATTGACTATAAACCAAATAGGCTTGTTAGAAATCAGCCTGAAATGTGACATGTGGGGTTGTTTATATATATATATATATATATATATATATATATATATTAGTGGGCCATGTAAGGGAACAATAGAAAAACTTAAAACTTACAAGAATGTTGCATTCAAGATAATTTCAGTATATTACAGAAATGCCAAGTCATCTAAAAACTTCATGACAAAAAAGAAAATTCCCTATCCATTTATACTGTCATGGCTTACTATTTTTTTTTCAAGGATTTTTTTTTTTTAACCTTTGCTGAAAGAAAAGGTAATCCTGTTACTCAGAGTGTATAGTCAGATCCCACTTCTTTCTAATTTTTTAAAATGCTAAATTTATCCAAGAAGGATGTTCTTCCAGCAGCAATGTCAATCGTTTCAAATAGTATTATTTTAACTAAACCATCAAAAATTCAGTTCAAAACATTTTTTCTATTGCCATCTTTGTGGAGGAAGAATTTTCTAATTTGAGGAAGTTGTACAAAGAAAAAAAAAATTATCAACAGATTCATTTTTGCAGGTAATGCATTCCAAACAGTAATCTGGTCTTGTGAACAGACTTTCAAAGTTACAATATCAACATTTGTTTTGCCAAGATTATATATTCCATTAACACACACACAGAATCAATATTAAAAACAATGCTGAATATAAAAGAGCCTATTTACTCATCAGAGAGAGAGAGAGAAAAGATATCAACAGGCCATATTTTATCTTGGAAGCAAATGAAATAAAACTATTTCATGCTGGAAAAAATCTAATTTTAATACCATTTTGGCTGTGATCAGTCATATCTTTAGTCAAAACACAGTATAAATGAAGCATTCTTAGTTCTTGGAGATCCATCTTTTAGACAGCAACTCCCCACTCCATTAATAGGGTAGTGTCAGAAGTATGCCCTGACAGCTGCAGCAAATTCCCCACTCCACCCAATTCATTCACATGTAAGCGTGGAGATCCCATATCAAATCTGATCTGTTGTATTTGCCCTTGTCAGAAGACAAATACCAACAGTCTGATCAAGTCAAATTAATCCCTGTATTGGCTGTTATTTGTTATGCTACAAAATTTTTGCGAGATTATGAGATCAAATACCTTGTGATATCATAAATACCTTGATGCCCTAAATAAATACCTTGTGATGTCATAAACCAACAAAGCACCAGCAGCTCCTCGATAATAACTTCTGGTCACTGATCTGAAATAACAAAGCCAAGACAGAGGCAATATAGGCAGCAGTTGATCATCTCTGGATTAGTAAGTAAACATATTCCATGCAAGTTCACTAAACACTTTATACTTTAAGCCTTTGCACTAAGCATTTCATGTATTACAAGTTAATCAGAAAATCAAATGAAATTTTTTTTTTATATTGTTACAATTGTCAGTATGATGTTCCAAACTAGATTGTCAGTTAGGTCTCATCATTTTACAGTTGAAATTGCTAGATGTAATCATAATTTTCTATTCTAACAGTTTCTTCTTCTCTCCGAATTCTTGCTTGTAGATCTCTCTTCTGGCTTCTTGCTTTCCAGTAAGGTTTGATCTTTGAAAATTCAAATGAAATGTCAGTCATTATCTTCTGTCTTCTTAATTCCTGTTCTTTTATTTTCATACTTGCTAACCCTTTGTGTCTTAGTGGGTTTTATTGCATTGCTTGGGGTGAAATGAGCTTTATATTTTTATTAATAAAAAAACAAATGTCCTAATTGTGTTATTATACTGAAAGGCAAATACTTTGATGCCCAAAGAGAGATAAACTATTATTTTATTTGGGAACAGGTGTACATAAAGTCTCAAATTAAAACCCCTATTTTCTTTTCTGTTTTGGTCCTTCCTCAGTTTTATTTCATGAAGAACATCCTTCCATTGTATTGCTTCATGCTATAATTTTATATTTATAGACTTTACCAATGAGCAGATTAGAATCAGGAGAAATTTAACAGCATCAGACAATCCAGTTACTTTTAACATTGCATTAAACGAACCTATTTCTTGTTTATTCTAAAAGAGAATACTGGCAGTACATCTTTACAAACCTCAATGTAAATGCAAGTATAAAGTGGTGTAGCAGCTATCGATATGGAAATTGAAACTTGTCTGTCCCATTGCCAGACATCTTGATCATGATCTTGTCACTAGTATGCCACCATTGCTGATAATTTGTATTCCCATAAATATCAGTGTTATCCAACATGCTGACATGTCCATGTTAATAAAGGCAGTGTAATAATTTAGATTTTACTTTTATGATTAAGTAATTTCATTTTTTTTTTTTTTTTCTACTTATCTAACATTGCTCTGTAGCAAAAGAATGGGCATTTGAAATATATTGAACCAATCTACCTGAGTAATAGCAATGTGATTTGGAATAAGAAAACTCCCCTTTTCAGAGTGGTCAAAAGAAGCAAACTGGCTCAAAATTATTAATTATATATTAAATGTAAAAAATAAAATACCTGAAGCAGCTTTCTTTATTGTCTATTATGATAAAACGTACATCTTAAACCAATTTATATATCTTTTTGAGGGTAGAATGTTAGAATCACTTATGTTTAACAACAAAAAGACTAAGTTATGAAGCTAGATTCAATAAACAAGAAAAAACAAAAAAAAACAAAAACAAAACATTAAAATTTCGAAGTCTATGGCATTATATATTAATGTTAAATTTCTTGAAGTTACTTGAAGATTAAAGAATAGGAGATACTTACCGGAATCGTTCTTGTCCAGCTGTATCCCAGATCTGTAGCTTCACTGACTTGCCTCCAACATTCACAACTTTACTGCCAAATTCAACTCCAATAGTGTGATTTGAATCTTGTTTAACTTAAGGGAAAAAAAAAAAAAAAAAAAAAAATCAGTACAAGAGACTGAATTGGATATAAACAATTGTTGTATTAATAAGAGTTTACCCATGCTACCAAAAATGATAGTATATATAAAATTTATTCAAATGAAAATCTTTAAATCTATCCAAAACATTATCATTGGATTTTGCTTTTTCACGAATAGTCTTTTCATTTTCTGACTTTATAAACATATTTTGATCATCTGCAATTGTTAAAGAGTATGTGACTAGTGCAAGGAAGATAACTAAAGATAAGTTTTTTTTAAAGTTATCTCCCTCTAAGCAAAAGTTATAGACAAAACATACATGTGGCATATTAAGAGGAAAAAACTAGGACACTTCAGAAATGTTAAAAACATTGAATTGAGCAAAGCACAGCTTGTCAGATTTTATGTCATTGTTTTATTTTTAATACTTTGCAGTCTAAAACTGCACTATAGAAGTTCTTCAAAGCTGCTATTTAAACATTAAAATTATGTGCAATTAGTAAAGGTAGGTAGAGGATTTTTGTTAAACCCCAATTTTTGATGATGACATTAGACGACATTCTATTGGACTGATATGTCAGGTGATCATTAAGTGTGAAAAAATAATGATTATCATAAGAATTTAAATTCAGCTTTAGTCAACCAACTTGATGCGACTGAATCTGTTACAATACAGACTATGTGATTTCTATTTCTGAAATTATCTTAAATCAACCAATACAGCATTTAATATGAAATTATTCTTTGTACGTGATAATGATCTCTCGTTATTCAATACTAAAACAACTTCATGTGTTTTGAATCAGTTTAAGTGGGAATGTAAATGCATTTTACTGTAGTTGTCATCAAGTTTTTAAAACCTTTTGAGCCCATTATTTCATTCATGATTAAAAGTTAAAATTTTTACAAGTTCAGTACATATTGCTTCACTAATGTCAAGATGAGCAAATTCCTTATCTAAATTTTGTCTATTTAAAATGCCATATTTATTATAAAATATATTCAATTTAAATACAGAAAAAAAAATCATAAAAATGACTTCAAAAGGCCACACAATTATTTATAAGATACCAAGGTTCTATCACAGTAGATAAGAGAGAAGAAAAAGAAGCTAATTATTTTTCTTTATTTCTTATTTAATTTCACAGTCATACTGTAGAGCAAGTGGCCATGGTTAAATGTAAACAAATGGTAGAATTACCCAACAAACAGAATTGACAAAGTTTGCAATAAACAAAGAAAACAAAAGAGCAAGGCAAAAATAAATCAAGCAAATAATATATACAAATAAGTAATATGACAAAGCAATAGTACTATGGCAAAAAGTTCAAACTAAGAATTGGGGTTGACATACAAGAGCAAGTTCTGACAAGTGAATATAGCATTTTGACTTCAAAAGACAAGACAGATCAGGACCGAGTCAGATGAAAGCAAAAACTGGCCTATTTTATTGATTAGGAAGAAATCCCAGCATACATTTGTGTGCTTCTGCCTCTAAATTGGGGATGGGGGTGTGTGTCTTGCAGTTATTCCTAGCACCAGATTAGAACCAATATATACACACAGATGCAAACAGAGTTTGACAATCAGAAGTTGTTAAGTTTTTTTTTTGGTCTTCAACTTTGATTTTATTGCTCAGTTCAGGTTAGGAATTGTCCAGACTGAGTTGAAGAGGTATATATTATTCCAGTGACTTATTCCAAACTCAGTCAAATTGTGAGTACAGGTGTGTACAATAAATGGCACAAGCAAGTCATTCATGCACAACATATATGTGCTTGCGTAGTCATACACAGCTTGTGGCAGACAGAGAATCCACTCATTTATAGTATAGATTTTAAATATCACAAGTCATACTGAAGCTAAAGTGTGTATATTTTAATTTGACAAGTTGATTGCATCACTCAAATTGATCTAATCTATATCTCTACTCTCATATCATTAGAATACAGAGTCAGGAAATGCCATGGACTTCTCTATTCAAGTGACATATGGATTTCAGCTGGTATTCACATTTAAATGGAATAGCTGTCCATCTCCCACAAGAGCAGAATGTGATACGAGGTTGGTGGTGTCCTTCACTTAGATGTGTGGCCCTACCACTTTACATACAATGGAAGGTTCTGATCATAGAATTGCTTTTATCATAAAAGCCATAATTTTTTTTTAGAAAGTGAAAAATTATTATTTTTTTAAGGATGCTAGGAATGCTTTACTTTTACCAACATTCAGCTAAAAAAACAATCTGCAATATCTATCCTCTTTCAGTAAAAGCTTGGATTTTATTTAATATATCAATATAGATTTAAATTCTATTGGCCTGGAGTGTCATGATATACTTTGATGAGCTGAGAATTTATCAATATATAAAAAAAAAAAAAAAAAAGGAACATTATGATAAAAAACAAATGATAACAGAAACATAAATAGTTAAGATGATATGTACAAAGGGGAAAAAAAAGAACAAAAGGCTGTTGGTACATGCATTCTGGTAGCCAACATTAAAGGCTTAACACTCTCAGCAGTTTTAAAGTTAGCCACTAATTTCAATTTTAAAGCTAAACAAATTTGTAAACAGCATAGATTTAAATGACAAAAATTTATTTCAAAAAAAGTAAAAAAAAGAATTCACCAACCCAAATTGAATGAATATATAGACAAGTTAATCTTAAATCCAAGAATCTGATGAATAAAGAAAGGCAAATAAGCTGCAGTAATGTATATCTTATAAGATAATGTTAAAAATGCAGAACATTGTGAAGAAAACTTCAAGAGAAAAGACAAGTTGGCTATTGTTTTAGTAATTAATAGAGGAGACTGTATGATGAGGGTCTAGTGGTTATAGGCTGTTGGCTAAAAATAGGATACTAGTCAGTTAAACTAGCCTTTACTATACAGGTAAATTAAAAAAAAGTCTTTTTGAATAGAAATAAATAGCTGAGTGTCCTAATGAGAACAATGAGTAACATATGGAGTAAAAGGGTTTTCATTTTCCAAGTTGATTTCATAAAAAAACACCATATAGACAGGTCTTAGGTGAAAAATAATTGTTGGGACACCATTCCTTTGATCTTATTCAAAAAGACTATTTTCTTAGAATCTATGTTTCATAAGAATTTTATATGACACATCAGATAACCTTCCATCATCTTTACCCAATTCATTGTGCAATTTTACACAAACAAGAAAAATTTATGGATATGATACAAAATATCTATTTTAATCAGGACGCATTTTTCCTTTTCCAATGTCAATGGCTACATTAAGGTAGATTGCAAAGAGATATTGTTAAAGAAAAAATAAAAAAGCTTATCTTTTATGCCATGTCCTTTCAGGAAAGAGGCAATCAAAGCTCTTAACTTTCTGTTTTTTTTTTGTTACTTAGTAAATTGTCACATTTTACTGTCCTCTTTATCATCCACTCAAACTTTTTACATTGTTTGCTTGCTGTTTCCTCTAGCTTTCAATATGTCCTGTGAGTGTTAAATTCTCCAAGCCTTCTTTCTTCATTGTACATCTTGGGAATTTCAGCAGTTTTTTTGATTGTTAGTATCAGTTTCCAGTTTAGTTTATTTTGTTTTATGGCGTATTAACCTCAATGGGTTATTTGATGCCAACAAGTTTTTTTAGGATAGGTTGGTATGAATAGAATACATTCTTTGTAAGAAATCAGTTTGTAGATCAGGTTTCATTGACAGATTTTTTGTAAAGAGGTTTTTTGTTGAGAGTCAATGTATTGCTGGTATTTTTTTTTTTTACTATTAAAATGAATTTTTATACTTTAATAGTTTTTTGATCCCAGTTTGGTGGGGGGGTATTTATTTGCCCATACCTGGGACCCTAATAGATGTTACCACACTGAGTGAGGGTGGACCTGGGAACAATAGCAATTAAGAAGTGGTTCCATGCTACTCAAAACCTCACAATCAGAGGCCTTGCTGCCAGATGTAGTTTATCATCATACCCAGCATTCTAAGGGTGGGTTCCAGTAAATGTTTACTGATCAAATATTAACAACAATGGAAACAATTTCTTTCTGTGAAATATCAACTGAGATTTAAATGAAGATTTCCACAAAAAGAATTTCAAGTTGATCAGAAATAAGTTCATTTTAGATACAGCAAAGTGTGAGGTGCAGAGATTAATTTTCAAAATATTATTACTTTACAGGATCAACATTGCATATTGTCATCTAGTGATTCATAATTTGAAAAAAAAAAAAAAAAAAAAAAAAAAAAAGGTTAAATCACTAACAGCATTTTATTATTTCTCTAAATGATATTAAACTATATATTAGCTTATTGCACTGATGTGCAGATGGTGTAATGATTAGAGGTTTGGAACAAGAAATTGGCAGTCAGAGTTCAGTTTCCAGTCAAGTTCATTACATTCACTTTTGTACAAATACCCTTGGGAAAGGCATGATTGATTTGGTTTGATTTTACATCATATCAACCTCAATGAGTTATTTAATGCTGACAAATTTTTTTATTGCTGCTAATATCCCCCCCCCAAAAAAAAATGTATTGCTGGTAATGTTTTTTTCCTTCAAAAAGTCTATTTCTGGTAATATTTTTCAAAAAATATATAGCTGATAACATTTTTTCCAAAGAAATATATTGCTGGCAATATTTTCTTTGTAATAATTTTCTTTTAAAAATGTATTGCTGGTAATAATTTTTTCCTTCAGAATTGTATCTCTGATAATTTTCTGGAAAAGGTATGAATCCATGTCTTCCCAGAGTGATGGGTTAAATGGTAGGGCAGACTGGGCTTTTCAGTCTTTGTTGGCAACCAATCTGGAAGAAAGAAAACTGAATTCCTGAATCCTGATAGATGGAACTCATTAACATGGGAGCACGTGACTGTTTAAGGGAAGGAAAACTGACAGTAACCTAACCCTACCTCAGAGATTGGTTGTGGGAGCCAATCACAGGACCCAGAACCCTTACATGCCAAGAGGCACCAAAACACAAGATCAGTCAAATAGC